TTTTTACAAATTAAATGGTTTTTATTTGAACTCACCCCTATATATATATATATATATATATATATATATATGTGTGTGTGTGTGTGTGTGTGTGTGGGGGGGGGGTAGGATGGCAAGGGGTTAGGGGGCATGGTGGTTACAATAGTAGCATGAGTGTGGTAGGGACAAGAGATGGACGGTGATGAAATTTTATTTTATTTACTTATGCCACAGAGAATGATTTATTCTTTAACTTGTGGAATTCAAAGGATTCATTCTGGTTTCAATGTGTGAACCAAACAAATGAATTGAAATTTAGTTAAAAGAATTGATCATTCCAATTTCTTTGAATTCTGGAAACTAAACAACACCTAAAATCCTCCAAAAATATTTTCATGTAAAAGATATTGTCCGTTTCATCCATTATTATTGTAACATCCCGAATAACCGTACCAGATATTGTTCGTTTTATCTATATATCTACAATTATTTATGTTGAATGATGTCCATATCCTTTTCTATAGGGATATGTGAGTGCAATAGAGAGTAAGAATTATGTGTATGTAAGTAAAAGGGAAATAAACAACAACCCCTTGTAATGTAATTGAAGGGTCCACGATAATCACTGACCGCCTTGAATAATCGACCTGTTTACCAAGCAAAGTCTTATTTTCATTATAAAATATTACTTTAGTAAAATAAAATAACTTTCAATCTTTTAATATAGGGCAAATTGCATGAAAAAAATAACGTATTTTAACTTGATTCCTATTTTGGGTAACGTATTCTCAAAACTTTCATTTTGGTATCTAAGATGTAAAGTTTTAAACATTTAAGTACCCGGGTAACAGGTTGAAGCATTAACCATTTATCATGCTGATATGGTGAGTGATGTGGTATCTAGTTAATGCTTTAGCAAATAATACTGAGTTGATACCACATCACTAGCCAATCAGCATGGTAAATGATTAATGCATCAACCGGTTACCCGAATACTTAAATGTTTAAAACTTTACATCTTATGTACAAAAATGGAAGTTTTGAAAGTACGTTACCTAATATAGGAATCAAGTTAAAGTACGTTACTTTTTTCATGCAATTTGCGCTTTTTTTTACATATGAATTGAACAAATTTCCGCCTTTTAAATTTTTAGTTGTGTAACTGTACACTTTAACATGATGCATATTGATTCTAAACTCTAAAATTTAAGCCTCAATGAAAAAGTAACGTACTTTAACTTGATTCATATTTTGGATAACATACCTTCAGAACTTCCATTTTGGTACCTAAGATATAAAGTTTTAACACATTTAAGTTTTAGGGTAACCGGTTGAAGACTAATTTTAGATTATAAAAAGACTAATTTTAGATTAAAAAAATCCATGTCACTAATCACGTCAGCAAATAATACTGAGTTGGATACCACATGACTCGCCACATCAGCATGATAGCCGGTTAATGCTTCAACCGGTTACCCGTGTACTTAAATGTTTAAAACTTTACATCTTAGGAACCAAAATAGAAGTTTTGAAAGTACGTTACCTAAATAGGAATCAAGTTAAAGTACGTTATTTTTTCATGCAATTTGCTCTTACTTTTATTGTGAATCAGTTGATATATAAACTTAGGAGCCGTTTACCAAACACTTATCCGGTAAGCGCTTACCGGTAAAATGTAACACTATCATTTACTTACCGGGTAAGATTTTAGTTCACAAAAGCGGTATCGTATACAACAATATATCCAGTAAGGCTTATCGTGGTAAGAGTCGTCGCCCTCACTTACCGGGTAAGACTCTTGGTCCTTGTCTCACTTTTACCGGGTAATACTTTTTGGTCCTTACCATATTCATCTGGTAAGGTAATGTGACTTTGTGTTCACTTACCCAAATAAGCGTTTGGTAAACGGCCCCTTAGTCTGTCTCATGCAATTCTATTCTACCGGTAACAAACTTGGGCATGTTAGTTAATAACTTAACAAGGTTGATGAGACTCACAACTTATTCGGCTAACTGTAAAAATTATTTGGTAGTGACTTAATAATATAAAATTTGACTTATTCAGTAAGCTCTCAGGATGATCTCTATGCTGAAAGCCAAGTTTTTTCAAAACTTGCCCTCTTAATTAAAAAGGAAAAAAAAAACCATTTTCAAATAAAAAGTCATTGAAATTTCGAAGATACTACGATGTAACACAGGAGATACATACTGTGTTTGCTGTCTCCATATCTTGATGACGAATTGATGATGCCTAAATTTTACTTCAAGCAAAATTCCGGCGTTAATTTCAGAAAATGGTTGACGATGCAAGATAGAACTCTGGATCAAACCGCTAGAAATTATCGAAAATCTAACCAATTTCAAGGTATCAATCTTTCTTTCTGTTCTAATGTTTTGAAGTTTTCAGCTAAAGAGGGTTTTTCCCTCGAAGGAAAACAAATACATTCACCAATGATTAAGCTAGGTTACTGTAACGTGTTATCGTTACACAATCAATTGTTAAGTTTCTATGTGAAATGCAACGAGTCCAGTGAGGCCTGCAAACTGTTTGATGAAATGCCTGTGAGAAATGTTGTCACTTGGAATACTTTGATTCGTGATTGTCATTTGGGTTTTTGTTATTTTAGAAGAATGTTGCTGGAAGGGGTCAAAATTGATCGAATTACTTTCTTGAATTTACTTTGCTTGTCGCTTGAAATAGGGAAGATTGAGATGGGTAAACAGTTCCATTGTTGTATAGTGAAATTGGGGTTTTATAAAGATTGTTATTTGAATAGCTCTCTTGTTAATTTTTATGCTAAACTTGGATTTGTTCAAGAATCAAGATGGGTTTTTGATGATGTTTTGGAGAAAGATTTGGTTTTGTGGAATGTAATGGTGTCTTGCTATGCGTTAAACGGGTTGATCGAAGATGGTTTTCGGGTCTTTCGGATGATGCAATTAGAAGGGGTTAAAGGCGACGATTTCACGTATACTAGTCTAGTGAATTCTTGTGCTAGTTTAGCATATCGCAAATTGGGAAAACAGATCCATGGTGTTGTTCTTAGATTCGGGTTTGATCAAGATCTGGTGGTGGCTAGTGCACTTACGGATATGTATGTCAAGAACGAAATAATTACTCATGCTCGTAAGGTGTTTGACGAAATGCCTCATAGGAACTTGATTTCTTGGAACGCTATGATCGTGGGTTATGGACGATTTAGTGATGGTAAGGAAGCTACGAAGCTTTTAATGGAGATGCTACGAGAAGGGTTTCGTCCTGATGAACTGACGTTAGCGAGCGTCGTTAGCTCGTGTGGGAATGGTGAAACCCTTCAGGTTCATTCTTACGCTTTAAAAGTTGGGAATTTATTGTTTTTATCGGTTTCTAATGCTCTTATAAATGGGTATTCTAAATCTGGGAATTTAGTATCTGCTTTTGAATTGTTTAGCTCGATTGACCGGCCTGATATAGTGTCATACACTTGTATGATTCAAGCGTACGCCTTTCACGGTCTTTCAAGAAACGCTATTGAACTTTTCAAGATTTTCGTTTCAAATGGTGCACCAAAACCCGATAAGATCATGTTTCTTGAGGTTCTTTCGGCTTGTAGCCATGGTGGGTTAGTAACCGAAGGTCTTCATTTCTTTGAATTAATGACCATAGACTATCGGATAGAGCCAGAGGTTGAACACTACACTTGCCTAGTGGACCTTCTTGGTCGAGCCGGTCTACTGGCCGAAGCTCACAGGGTCATGGTTTCCATGCCGACGATCCCTGGACCTGACACGCTCGGTGCGTTCATTGGAGCGTGTAAGGTCCATGGAAATCTCGAGTTAGCGAAATGGGCGGCGGAAAAGCTTTTTTTGTTGGAGCCCGACAAGAATGTGAATTATGCTCTTATGGCAAACGCGTTTGCTTATTCCGGGAAGTGGTTTGAATTGGCTGAGATTCGTAAGACGATGAGGGATAATTGTGGTTTAAAGATACCGGGGTTCAGCTGGTTAGACCATCTCCAACCCTAGCACCAAAACATTACCAAATTGGTAGGGCCATTAACACATAAAATTGCTTAAATTCCTCAGACGTGTAGCTCAGTTGACAAAGGAGTGAGATGACTTTGTCTAAATACAAGTCAAGTCATGGGTTCAATCTCAGGCCCCTCGCTAGCCTCAACCACTGAGTGCGCCAAAAAGTGCCCCTTTTATATTGGTGTCTTTGGAGTCAGGTTTCATATGGGGCTGGTTGGGGTTGCAGATATTAAACTTTTTGCCCAAATATGTCGTTTCTCTCCCATTTCCAGCATTTTGCTGTATGGTTGGAGCATCCTCTTCGGTAAAATCTCAAATATACAGTATGGTTGGAGATGCCTTTGAGGCTTTTCAGGGAGGTTTGTGGTTTCATACGCTATGCGTGGTGTACAGTGTGTTGGGATTGTTGTACGATTCGATACTCGACATTAAGGGTCTTCACAGATATAACCTTTATAGCCCTTGGGTAGAGACAAGGTCTGCGTACATAATACACCTGGATCCTACCATCACGTGGAACTTACTGGGTCATTCCGACAACTTTGAAAATGTCACTCCTTAACAGAAGAATGTCACTTCCATACACGATGTCTAAAAATTATGAATTTGAAAAACACTTCTCATTCAGCTAAATTAAAGAATAGAAATGTGAGAAATTGTCAAATCAGACTGCAGAAAATGACAGATAGCTGATAGGTCTATATATATATATCTCATCTTCGATTGAGATATACTAGGTACATTTGATTTGATTTGATTTACTTTCCCATGCAAATCAGACCGCATAAAATGACAGATAACTTCTTAGGTAGTGACAGGTCCAGAAACTTTGACATGTAGAAACTTACCGCACATATTAAAGGGGTCGGAAGAGAGAAAATGAAAAAATAAAATAAAAAACCGCTCGTTTTTTAGTGGAAACGGGGGCACTTGCCCCTCCCTCTTACACATAGATATGTTTATACCTCTTAGTAGGATATACTGAGTTTGTTCAAATTAGGGGCTAAAAGCTCTTAATGTCCTCTTAAGTCTGAATCGGTCAGACATAAGAGGATTCAGTGTGTTGTTCTTTTTTTTTCAATTAAGACTTATTAGGTTTGAAAATTTAAGTGATTGCAAAACCTCTTATTACCTCTTATTTCAAATCGTTGCCTACCTACTCTGATCTCTTTGCGCTCGATTTCTCTAGATCAACTCTTCTGTCTCGATCTCTCATCTCTCAACTTTGTCAACTGTCGATCCATATCAACTCTCGATCTCTCATCTTCAAACTTCAGATTTCAGACGCAAAAAACAAATAGTCTGACTAATTCAGATTTCAGACTTCAGCACAACCTCTTAAAAATCAGAAGTGAATTCAGACTTCAGACTTCAGCACCTTTTAAAAAACAAACGCCACCTTAGTTTCTTAGAAGGAATTATGTCAGGAAAACCTAAAATTTGAACGATATATATAAATGATTTTATGCATGGATTATATGGACTCGTTTAGACCAGACCAGATCATCGTATTTATTGTACTTATGGGAACTATAGTAAGTTGGGTTGAGTTCATGTGAGACAAATTTTTTACACTTGAAACGTCACAACAAGATGTGAAGGTAAAAAGAAATCTGAATCTTCACAGCAAAAACACTGTGAAGGTTACCTTCACGTTGTTTTGTTGTGAAATTTCAAGTGTAAAAAACTTGTCTCACGTGTCTCACAAAAACAGTCTTGGCTTACATGAACCCAAACCATATTAAGTTTTGTCATTTTATTTTATGTTGTCGTTATTTCTTTATCCATCCATCTTGATTTCTTATAAAAGAAAACAATTCAACTTAAACAGTCTTTCTGTTTTAAAGATTTCAACACTAATTATATTATATTATTAAAATATAATATAATATTAAAAAACAGTCTTCCTATTTATTCTTTTATTTTTAATTTTATTTGAAAAAATAAAAATAAATCGTCTCTTTATTTAATTTTGAATGATTTTCTAAATTTGTAGAAAATTTCTCTATTTCTAGGGCTGTAAACGAACCAAACGTTCAGCGAACCGTTTGTGAACCATTCGACGGGAAGTTCGTTTATTTAATAAATGAACGAATATGAACAAATTTTTTTGCTTCTTTAGTTAAACGAATGAACATGAACAAAAGTCTCGTTCGTTCATTTATGTTCGTAAACGTTCTTTCATTTATGTTCGTTTATATATTGAATTTAATATATAATCTTTTATTTATTTGGTTTGAATTCAAATAATATTTATTTAAGTTTTAACTTTTTAGAATTTATTTAGATTTAAATTTTATCATCATTTTGTCTTATTTGAATTTTTTATTTTTTCATTGTTTATGTTCGTTTAGGCATGTACGTTTATGTTCATTTTGTTTGTTAACGAACGAACATAAACGAACATGAACACACCTAATTTCTAAACGAACGAACACGAACACACTTGATTTCTAAACGAACGAACACGAACATGAACACAAAGATTTTTTTTCGTTTACTATTCGTGTTCGTTCATTTGTTCGGTTAAGTTAAACGAACGAACATGAACAGGCCGTTGTTCATGTTCGCTCGGTTCATTTACAGCCCTACCTATTTTCCATATTTTTTTTCATTTTGTTTTAGAAAAAAAAAACTTAAAGCTTGGTGATTTAATAACGAGATTCTTAAAAAATTACATTCAACTTTGACAGCTACTCTATTTTAAAGATTTCAACATTAATTATTTATACTCTATTATAAAATATTTGACAAAAACTCTTAAAACTCATTTTTTATGTATGAAATATTGTTTATTAATGCATATTACTTCAAATTCAAGATTACAAGTAAATTGTACATAAGTACAACTTATTAAAGCTCCATTTTCTAATTCGTGTAACTAACTATAGATAAATATAATCAAATACATGATAAACATTTCATTTTAAATATAAAAACTTTAAAATATAATTAGAATAATCATTGACTTTTAACAAAATATTTAATTATTATCTTTAAAAAAATTACATTATTAAATCAAAAATAAATTACTTCATTATTAAACATAAATTAAATTATAATAAAAATTGAATTAAAAGAATTATACAGAAAACGAGAATTTTTAAATAGTTAATTTAATACTAATATTGATATATTTTTTTCAAAATTTTATGATATCTTCAAATTTATATTTTATCCAAAAATAAAAACATTATTGTTTTTCCAAAACTATATAAAACTGTATTATATCGACATGGACAAAAAATAAAACGAAATATCAAAAATCAAACTGGATCTCGCTACATTGTACAAATATCCTTGGCTCTGTATATATATGCTCTGAAATTTGGTTTATTGGCTCATTGTGTGTAGGTTAAAGTTCAAAATCATACAAGATTGTGAATTTACAAAAGAGCCCCTCTAACTTTACAAAACCACCCTTGTCTTATAATTCTATCCACTTTTCTCTAACTTTCTCATTTACATTTCCTGTTTCCTCCTATGAACCCCCTCTTCCAACTCCCCACAAAAATCGCCGAAGAATCGTTCGTTCCGTCAAACGGACCGTCTACGTAAACTAGACATGCGTCAATCGGTCTTCACTTCTCGAGAGAGAATCCTGTCGAGTCAACTGATATTCTGTGTTTGTAGACCCTTGCTCCTCGGAGTTGATTACATTCACTTTCGAACAGATAAAGAAAAACGAAGAAGTGTATATCGACACATGCCACATGCTGCAAACCGTTTAACGTCATCAAGAAACAACCAAAGGTAAATAAAATTTCTAACGTGCGTGTTTTCAGTAATTTTCGCTGTAATTTCATTCACTCGCCCTGACTGACTGATGGTGATTACTGTAATTCAATTGTTATCGGTCACAACTGGTGACCGATAATAAGGACCAATTAATTCATTTTGTGGGGTCCCGTTACCAAATTTTTGTATATGGGACCCACAAAATGTATGTACGATTTTAATAGTAATTATATTATTAAAATATTCAATGCAGTTAATACCCTTAACAAACTATCGAATAAACTTTTATGAAATCCATTTTTGGAGAAATTATAGAGAATCTGATGAAGATGCTCTGACTTGACGGAAAAACCACAATGCTAACCTCAACATAACCACGTTAAAATTATATTTCAAACAAAGCGAGTAATCGCAACAAACCTGTGCCAAAACCAGTAACTTTCGGTTGATTCGAGGCTCCAGCTTATGGCGGCCATTGCTAACGCAATGAATCCGGCGAGCACGAAAAACCAGCGAAAACGTCTAATAACCGTCTTTATAATGTTATGGAGCCATCCATTGATTGTTTGCCACCTGAAAACGTTTTATAAAACGCCATTAGAAACTTTAGGGACTGTTTGTTAGCAGCTTAATGGGACTCGCAGTTTATTCAGTCGTCAACTATACATGACTCATGTTTGGTAGTGGCTTGATGATATAGAAAGTGGTTTATTCAGTAAGCTTACAAAGGTGAGCTTTATGTTTTTCTAAACATACCCCTCCCAATTTATTTAATTTTGATTAACCTGGATATCCAACCTGCTATGCGAGCTGACTAATCCCAGGGCAACCACCTGCTTTGCAGATAGCCCGGAGTCACCGCATTTGAACCTCCGTGGCCACAAGGGGATTTTTATTCCTCCTTGGATTTGAACGTGAGACCTCCTGGTACTTTTGACCTTTGGAGCCAAGCTCAAACCAATCAGGCACCACCCTTGTGGTTCATACCCCTCCCAATTAAAAACATGCTAATTCTATCTATGGGAAAAACAGTCCCAAACAAAAGCATTTCCAATCTATACAGACAAATTAATCCACATAGACAACTTCATTCATATAGAACTTAAGGGGCTGTTTGGCAGTTGCTGAATGATTTAGTGCAGAATAGTTAAGAGGTCAGAATGGTTAAATGCTGAATGAAATAATGTTGTTTGGTAACTGTTCTCTGAATGACAATAAATTACCATTTTAACCCTCATCTAACAAAAACCCATTATTCCATTTTAACCTTCACTTTTTGTTCCTCTTTGCCCTCATCGATGGCTTCAATCTGTGATGAATCATCGAGAATCATCATCCTTGACCCTGGTGAATCACTGAGATTTATGGGATGGGTTTCATCTTTTGGAACTAATTCTTGCCCTTGTTCAACATGTAGCTCTTCGATTTGATCCGAAGAAGTCGATAAATTGACTTCATGAGGTTCTTGATTATCGTTTCTGACATCGGGAACGTGCTGCGGTGATGAGCGGCGGGCGACGAGCAGCGGCGATGAGCGGCGGCGACGAGAGGCCACGACGACAGACGGAGACGACAGACGATCGTAGGGTGGGGGTGGCGATTTGCAGACCGGCGACGAGAGGGTGGGGGGAGGGGCTGTGAAGACCGGCGACGAGAGGGTGGGGGGAAGGGGCTGTGAGCGACGTGTGAGGAAAGCTTGGGAGAGGACAAAATTGAAAAAAGAACACTCTGAATGGTTTAGAGAAGCCTCAGATGCAAAATGGTTAAGAGGGGTTGTGTAACCATTAAGAGCCTCTTTTTTTTGCCAAACACCCTTGACCTCTTACCGATTAAGAGGTTGGCTCTTAATATAACCATTAAGAGCCAAACAAACAGCCCCTAAAGCCTATTTGTTGGCAGCTTAATGAGCTTAATGAGACTCATAGCTTACTCGGTCAACTATATATAGAGTGGTTGGTAGTGGCTTACTGATATAGAAAGTGGCTTATTCAGTAAGCTTCTAGGTTGGCTTTTTTTTTTCCTTCTAAACTTGCTCCTCCCTCTTTCCATCTGTTAAAAAACCATTCCACACAAAAACCTTCCAATCTATGCAGGCAGATTAATCCACACAAACAACTTTACTCCATGACTTAATGCAAAACCAACCAAACAACCCCTTAACCTCTTGTGGCCCAACTAGAGATGCACAAAAAAGTCTCAGCCCGAAGCCCGGACTGAAAAAGCCCAGCCTAGGCCCTGCCTTAAAACCTGATCAGGCCAACTTTTTTCCAAGGCTCAGTTAAGGCTGGCCGAGGCCCGAAAAATCCTGGGCCTTTTGTATCTCTAGGCCCAAGGATTGTGTGGTCAAAAGAATCTTACCTTTGAAGCATATTCAGAAGAAATTCGGTGGAAAGCGAGATTCGCCTATAATGCGTGAAGAACTCGATCAACCAGCCGACAAGAAGACCGATTGATCCAATTGCTATTACAAGAACGATGTTGGAGGACCTCAGAAAGAGAAATTACGATAGTAAGATTCCTTCAGCTCCAAAATAAGTATCCACTTTCAAAAGTAAGCGCATACTTTCCAATGCTGCCCTTAGTTATGAGATAGATAAATTCATTACTCCCTCTATTATTAAGGATAAAATTTTCATTTAGTTAAGAGTAAATTACAATTTTCATCCCTATGGTTCAGAAATTGCGATTTTTGTCCCTATGGTTTGCAATTTATTGCTATTTTCATCCTTAGACTAATTCCTACATTCAAGTATAAGGGACCAAAACAGTAAAAAAATTGTAAATCATAGGGACCGAAAAAACAATAAATTGTAAATCATAAGGACAAAAATAACAATGAATTACAAAACATAGGGACGAAAATCGCAATTTTTAACAAACCACAGGGACGAAAAATGTAATATACTATTTAGTTAATCAAAAAGCGTAACAATTACACATTTCTAAAACTGTGTGCCATTTTCATTGCTGACATTTATTTTGGGCGAGGGGAGTACAATTTACGAAGCGGTTTTTGTGGTTCGTATGATTTCCCGGGGCTTCAAGAGTAGTTGTTAGAAAAACCCGTAAAGCGGAGGAAGCGTACCTTGTGGCTCCGGTTTCGGCCATGAGTGCGGTAAGGATGGCAACAATCGTATGAATTGTCCGCTTTGAAGGTTCATCAATTGCAGCCAAGTAGACAAATGTGCTCACTACGGCCATGAACGAAAGCCAAAAATCCATGAACTGGAAGTATATTGATAGCAAACCATAAGAACCACAAATACAAACCGTCAGAAGCACAAAAAGGTTACAAACCCGTGAGAACCGGTGCAAGGCTAGGATTTAAGGTATTTATTAACATATATTTGTTTCATAATGTTAAACTTTTTTTATGTGTTTGTGGTACAAATATTACACGTAAAAAAATTCCACATCGTGAAACAAAAAATACATCCACTTATTCTAATCGAACTGTTGTGAATAGTAAATGCGGTTACATTTTGCCAAAACTAAATTCACCATTATAGGGGAGGTCACATTCGAATCTAGATCATCTATTTTTTTATCCAACGGTTGATAGGGTTCCTTGTTGTCCTTGTTGTTGGGGTCAAGTTTAAATGAGAAGGCGGTCAATTTGCAAGAAGGCGAGAAGTTCCAAGAGACCTTCCCCGCAATCTTTGATCGTGTTCACCAAGTTGTCCGCTTCCCCTTTGGATATGTTCAATCATATATGATTAAGCGATGTGTAATGTAATCATATGTGATCTTGGAACTTCTCGCAAACTGAGCAACTTCTCGTTTGATCCTCTCTCTTTATATATATATATATATATATATATATATATATATATTGGTGGAAATCAAATGAGAACTAGAAAATGTTGAAAACAGCGAGAACCAGTTCCACATGTGAAACATACAATGTTATTTCATATATGAAACAATCAAAATTGTTTCACATATGAAACAAAACATGCCCCTACACACATAAACAATAATACCACCTTGAATCCTGGAATAAGATAAAACTTATTAAATGATTGGGATTATTCTCACGGTTCTCAACATTTTGGTGGTTCTCGTTTGATTTTCCTGTATGTATATCACAACAATATATATATATATATACACATATAGGCGAAGGATCGTGTGAGAAGGAGAGTTAAGGTGAGAAGCATAAGAAGAGATTTGGAGCCTTGATCACCTTTAATCTCAAACCCACCCATGAACGGCGCTTGATATGGGGATTGATCCGGTGCATCTCATCCTAATGTGCATCTAAGAGTGGAAATCCCCTTCTTACGCTTCTCATCGGAACCAACTCTATATACATAGAGAGTGAGTGTGTGCGTGTGTGAGGGATCAAGGGAAAATCCCAAAAAAATGAAAAAACGAGGAACACCCTAACAATTATCCATTTGTAAATGTTCTATGGCTTCTATGCACTCGTGCATCAGATAAATTACTTATATGCATATGTCCATACTGTACAAATGGTGTTCCTCACTTTTTCATTTTTTTGGAGGTTTTCCCCTAAACCTGACCCTATATATGTATGTATGAGTGTGTGTGCGTATGTATATATATATATATGTGTGTGTGTATATATCACCATAAAAAGATTCTACGGACCTGCAAAACATGAAAAGATAGCGCACACCAGGCACCAACATCACATGCATGGTATAAGCCACTTGAAATACCACTTGATGTATAGAGCACCCACTCTGCAAATGCCTGCATCGACGGAATTATACATATCTATGTTTGGATGAAATGAAAAAACAAAATGAATGGCCAATCGGGACCGAAGACTCCCAGTTTGATTTTCCAAAGTCAAACCGTCAAGAAAACAAACTGATAACCACATTAACCAAACCAAACGAGCCAGTATATCCCACCCAGAGGTTGGGGTCTGGGGGTATAATATACGCAAACCTGACCTCTATTCGTACCTTCTGACGTAGGGCCCAATAAGCAGGAAACACGAATGCAGCATTTGATGCAATAAGCAAAATCGATTGCAGTATATGCCCTGCAAGAAATACGATAAGAGAGGCGAAATATGCACTCAAAGTTCCAAGATTACCTTTGAGATAGAATGTGTACCAAGTAAACGTAAAGGGTATTTTGGTAACTTAATATGAGGTATGAGGTTTCTTGATTTTGGAAGGGGACAATTGATAACAGAAAGGCGAAACACAAACGGGAAAAAAAATAAGGCCAATTCCCCATATCAAGTGTGCACAAAAAGATTCTCAAAATTCCAAGATTACCCTTGAATATGAATATGCATGCAAGGCAAAGGATCTTGCGGTATTGACACCCTAAGGTTGTTCTAGTAACTTCACATGCAATCCGATGTTTCTTGATTTCAGAAGGGTACATCCGATAACCGAGGCGCAAAACACACATCTACACGCACAGATAGGGCCATATGCTAAAAGAGTATGGACACTTCCATCCCACGTTAAGTGTTCGCCTAAAAGATTCTCAAAGTTCCAAGATTGCCCTTGAACTTAAACATGGATGCTATGTAAAGGATCCCTCGGCATCAATAACACAAAGGGTATTTTTTGGGTAACTTCACATGCATGCACAAATAGAGCCATATGCAAAAAGAGTATGGTCACTCCCGGCCCACATTAAGTCTACACTCACCGAAAAGATTCTCAAAGTTCCAAGATTACCCTTGAACATAAAGACGTGTACTATATAAAGAATCCCACAGTATCGAAAACACCAAGGGTATTCTGGTAATTTCACAAAAACTTGGAGGACTCTTGATTTTGGAAGGGGGAACTAAATGTGGCGAGGAGTTGAGTATTGGTAAGCCATGAAACGTTACACTATATGCCAGCTTCCTAACCCCAACCCACCCCAGCCCCACGCTCAACCTCTATTACTCCATTCTTCCTATCCACACTAGCTAGTAGTTCCTACACATAAGAACTCCTATTAGAATGAAATTTTCAAATCAACTTAGAAGTCGAACACGAAAGAAAAGATATTTATTTTGGTCATTAACGGTTTTATTTTGTTGGTCCCATTTATTTGATGTGATGAGAACGAAGATGTGACCGTGAGGCCCATTTGCATAAAGTGAGAAAAACAAAGATGGAAGTCACCAAACGAAAATCCAAAACTTCCCGTCTATTTCACATTTATCTACATAAATTACCTCGATGGGAGACAAGTTCATCACTACAGTCAAAGCCTCCATGGGTCCGATCACACCAACAATAGCTGCGATATTTTATAATAATAAATCAGATAACAGTCGGGAAAAAAAAAAGCAAACATGAATAATATCTTCATGCCGTTGTACTCCCATGGTCACATCAACAGACATCCCAAAACGAAAAAGTTTTGCAATTTTAAAAAGAACTTAGAAAAAAAAGTGCCCGAGCTTTTTAATTTTAAATATGACTAAAATGGTGGATGAGATACGAAAATACCTGTAGAGTGACAACCCACTCATTTCAACAACATTTTGACATGTTCCATGAGACGAGCAACTTCTCGGGCATCTTTCAACCGAAATCGACATAGTAGTTTGACTTTGGCTTTGACTTTTAGGAGAAGAGGTCAAATACTTTATACCGAAATTCCAAGTTCCTTCTTTGGCATAGACGATATAGAAACCGACGTTTTTTTCATCTGAATTGTACAACTTAAAGAACATCGAACCTTTACTGTTGCTAGTAGAATTCACATAGAAGTAATCCCATTTATCTTCAAATGGTAATCCACCATATAGCGCATAAATTTCATGATGCAATTTAGTATCTGAACTTATTCGCATGTGAATGCTTCCTCCGGCTGCACCCGATGGGATGTCTACTTGAAAATAAGTCCATGCATAATCTTGACTTTGACCGAGCGAAGAGTTGCTAAGAAGAGGCTCGAGATGAAAATTAGATGAACGTGAAAATCCTTTAATATTCACAGGTGAATAGTATGATTCGAAAGGAAGGGACGGATTCTTCCTCAGAATTGTCTGCATAAATAAACATTCGGTTCACATAACATCGTTGTGCAAAATAAATGTCCATGATGAAAAAGACCCAGTTTTAGAAATTCGTAATTATTACACTTTTTAATTAATTAAAGGGAAAACGAACTTTCATATTCTGAGCAATTAAGTCCCATTTGAACAAATAAATCACTGCACTTACTGAAATTGAACGAAATGGCCTTCTGACCCTAAAAAACGATCAGGGACTTAATCACTCAAAAAAAGACAATTCCCTTAATAGAGGGAGTAATGAATTTCTCAATCTCATAATTAAGGGTAGAATCGGAAGAAAGTGACACTTATTCTGGAATGAAAGAAGTATATCTTATAACCAACCTGAAGCACATATCGTTCCCACTTACAATTCAAACCGGCTTTATTTTGAGGACATTGACGCACTTGCCACAACAATGAAAAGCAAACTGTCATGTTCTCAACAGTGCCATTAGAGAGGTTGAGGGGTATAACGGTAATATACCACCGACCAACTTTTGGAGAACGTATAACCAAGGGGGAGTCAATGATATTACCAGAATAATCATGATTCGATGATGATGGCAAGGCACCATGCCGAGCATAACATATTAAACCAATATTGCTATGATTATTTGTACCATCTTGAGTTTGGTTGAATTTAACATTTGTAGTCGAAATTGTTATTTCTTCCGAAACTCCGAGCAAATCCAAAATGTAGACTTTTGGTTCTTTCCGATCATTGCACAAGCTTTCATCGTTGTTTCTACAAGAAACAACGGTTCCTTGCGTTGAGTTCTGCTCAACACAAGAAAGTTGGTCAATGGTTTGGTTACAGAATTGACCCGAGATAGATGGGCCCATACAACCTTCAACGCTAACATTTCCACTAAATGAATACTCCAATCCTCGATTTATCTGTAACACCAAATCATAAATAACAATAAAGTTCAGATAGTTCTTGCAAAGTATCATCAATCAATACATATACACACACATGTACATATATAGAGGAAGGTTCATTTAGGAACCTTAAATATTTTAGGAACACATGAACCACCCTTTTTGTAAGTATTCATGATGAATGTTGTGACAATATATTCATCATGAAATGGGTCCCTAATATATTTAATATATTCATGAAATGCCCCTATATATATATATATATATATGTATATCGAACCAAATATATTGTGAGAACCATGAGAACATTTACCTCAAGGTATTGTTTCGCATGATTTTTTCTTGTAAGGCTAGGATTTAAGGTATTGTTTTAACATATGTTTGTTTCACAATGCAAAACTTTTTGTGTACGTTTTTGTGTTACAAACACGTCAAAAAGTTTAGCATTGTGAAACAAATATATGTTAATCAATACCTTACCTAGTCTTACAAGAAAAAATCATGCGAAGTAACACATAAGTGGTACTCATGGTTTGTATCCTTTTTGTGGTTCTCACATGATATATATATATATATATATATATATATATATGAGTCAAGTTCATACGAGAACAGTAACCAAATAAGAGAATAGGAGAACAGTCGAATCACATGTGATTTAACACTAAAACCATGTGTAAAATCACATGTGATTCACGCGACTTTAGAGCAACCTGAGGTCGCGGGCCATGTCACCCGCACACCCTCGCACTGGTCATTAGTGGAAAATCGCATGCGATTTTGCTAATGATTTGGCCGTTTTCATGTTCTCTTATTTTGAAATTGTTCTCATTTGAACCTCCCTCATATATATAGGAAGGGGTGGGTGCATTTGAGAACCAATGAATTATCATGAATATTCATTATGAATATCATCTTGATAAAAACAATAAGGATCCTTCCAAATACACATTATGATGGCAACAATAGCCAAGAAAAAATGGGAGAGTTGACCATAATATCCCCTACCATCTTTGATTGTGTCCTCATTGATCCAATGCCATTAAATAGACCAAAGTACCAAACGCCCGGAGAAATCTGTAGAACAATATAGCATTAAGTTGCCAATAAGTAAATATATGTTCCAATTACGATTATAACTTCTTGATTCATTTATACAATTTCTCGTTGTTCTTCACTTTGTGGGTCTCATCTTTATCTCTTTATAGATCAAGAAATTCCCAAAATCAAGTCTTTATTTGTCGTGTACCATATAAATAGACTCGCAAAAGCAAAAATGGTAAAATGATAGAAACTAGCGGAACCTCCAAAAAATAAAGAACGAAAGCCAACCTGCTCGTTTGTCAGCCTCAAAAGAATATTTTTCTGCATAGGATAACATTTCTCGGCAAATTGAAGACCTTGTGTCCCCAAAGATTCATTAGAAATAGGATCCAAAACTGCAACATTGAGTAACGCAATGATGTCAAAAAAGATTTGATAATCCATTTTAAATTTGAACAAGTCGCTAAAAAACAATTGGGTTTTCACAATTACATACTCCCTCGGTCCCATGAAATTCCAACATCTTTATTTTTGGAAAGCTTTGTCGAGGGGAAAGTTCATTTAGGAATTAGGAACCATAAATATTTTGAGAACCCCGTGAACCAACCATTCATGAATTATTCATTATGAATATCATGCATTTTCATTACTCATAGTTGGTTCTCACGGTTCTCAAAATATTTACAGTACTCAAACGAACCTGCCCCATTTTGACCATTGCCATCATTACAAGAAAAAGATATTGTTATTTCTTATTACTAAAGGGTATTTTAGACATTTACAAATAGTCAAACACAACCTACCTGGCTGGTCAAACATTATAAATTTGATGGGACGGAGAGAGTAGATCACGACATTAATTTGATAATCATATAATACGAGAAACTTTTAAGCATGTTATGCAAGAATAATATTGTGAATGAAGAGTTTACCGTTGTACCTAAACCAGTTAAAGAGGTGTTATATGAATCCGGCAAAGGAGGGCTGCCTTCACGAACACATATCATTGGTAGCTTATTTATACCGCCCTTTTTAACGCTATTTTTACCCTGAAAAGCAACGAAACCATGTCAAAAAATAGAAAGAAAAGCCCTCCACCTTAAGAAAGATTTCACATTTGACTTCTAAGTATCAAAGGGCATTTTAGACATTTGATCGATGGTCAAACATTTTTATTAAACTATATATCAAGTCAAATGTAAATCTTTTAGAACAAAAGTAGTTAAAAGATTATGCAATTTCATAAAAGATAAGACTTATACTTACAAGGTTTACATCAGACTCTAAAGCAATAGTCATCGAAGAAAATGATGTCGGCAAATCAACTGCAAGAAAGATGAACCGTTATTCGAATTAGAAACTCTTGGCAATAAAATAATTCAAAGCATAATCATGTTCTTCATATTTCCACGCCTTCCCCTCGGAAAATAAATTTTCAAATGAATTTATTGAGATAAAATTCAACAATCCACATAAAATAGAAACTGATATCAATAACAAAACAAACCAAACGAACCCAGTATATCCGACACAGATATAAGTTTATTTAGGGGCAACAAACCAAATGAACCCATAATATCCGACACAGATATAAGTTTATTTAGGGGCAACAAACCAAACGAACCCGGTATATTCTACACAGACATGAGTTTAGGGGTAACAAACCAAACCAAACGAACCCAGTATATTCTACACAGACATGAGTTTAGGGGTAACAAACCAAACAAACCCACTATATCCCATACAGATATAAGTTTAGGGGTACCAAACCAAACCAAACCAGTATATCTCACATAGATATAAAAAGCTTTTCAGGACATTTTTGAAACAATGTGTCCTAATTTTAGCCCTTCCATACGTGTTCTGTATACCCATCTTTTCATTAAGACACTTGTTTTATAAGACACTTTTTCAAATAGTATCCTATAAAAGGGATAATAGAATCCTCTGTTTCAAAAGTGTCCTAAAAAGCAGTTTAATGCTCCCAAAAGCGTCATGTAAACTTATTACAACACCTTTATATATCACAAACAATTGTCTGGTCCTATTTAAGTCCTGTAAACCTGATTTTGTTACAGTGAATTCCCACGGTTTTCAACCTAACCCACATGTAAAATCAAGAATTAATTGTACAGATAAACAAAATTCAATTAATCACTAACTTCAGCTGATATTTAGAATCAATTATACGGTAATCCCTATGAAAAAATACACACAATTAATTAATTAAAGGTATCTATACAAAATTCCCAATTTTCAGGTTGAACCCACAAAACTAAAATCAACAAATCAACAATCAAAACCTAACTGATCATACACATAGTAATCAAAATCGATTATACAGTAAATTATAAATAAAAAAAACACACAGATTAAACCTATCTACTCAGAAAATCTCAAATATTGAACTCAACTCACCAAATAAAATCACAATCAAAACCTGATTAATCATAAAAGTTAGCAAACAATCAAAAACACAGTTAATTTGCGTTGCTTACCTCTGATATAACGCCAATCATAAGGTCCGAGTGAAGTTTTACCATAAATAAAGCTCGAAATCGTGAAAGAATCATAAGGAACAGCAGTAACTTCATACGACCAACAACAATGGCTGATTAAATAAATAAAAAAGTAGAATCTATTCGAACAAAGAAAACCCAAAATCGAATAATTGGATTTATCGGCCATGTGGAATCTCCTGTCGACTTATTCTACGAAAAGGAATCGGAAATCGATAGAATCATAGAAACCCAATAAGCAATAGATTCTCGTTGTATTTACGATTGAATGAAAGGAATAATATATATGTAATAGTTGTGTAGTTGATCGTTTGATACAATATAGAATTGGGGGTTTATTGACAAAGAGGATGCAGAAAATTGGTAAAATAATGGTATGATCTTGACTTCAAAATTCCATGGGTTTTGACTCAAATATTTATTTAAGAATTATGTTTTTAGTCCCTATAGTTTATTAAAAATTACGATTTTCGTTCTTGTAATTTAGAAATTACAGTTTTCATCCTTGTAATTTGTAATTCATTATTGTTTTTGTATTTATGCAATCATGAGTCATGACAATGCTCGAGGAGAAGTCCCGGCAAGGCAAGGCAATGGGGCGGGTTTTGTAATCCCCTGCCCCAGCCCCAGTTTGTAGTAACGTCCCCCGGCCCTGACCCCGGTCCTTGGCGGGTACGGGGATTATTATCTCGTCCCCGGTCAAATCTCTAGCAATCCCCGGTCAAATCTCTAGCAATCCCCGGTCAAAACCCGGTCAAACCCTGTGAATAGTATCCTTTATTTTAATTCTACCGGGGACGGACCGTCCCTGGTTTGAGTAACATCCCCCGTCCCTGGCCCCGTCCCCGGTTTGTGTCTACCGGGGATCCCCGGCACCGGGACCCGTTTTAGCGGGGAATCCCCGTCCCCATTCGGGTCGGGTGAACCGGGTTCCCCACCGGGTCGGGGCAAATCATCATCCCTAGTCGCAGCAGGTAACAACATATACAAGCAACTTGAGCGAAAGGGATAGCGCTTTTACTCTTCAACAGAGAAAATCAATGATTTTCTTGAATACTTCACGTCTCGTTCGTATGCTTTCTAGCCTGCCTCTTTCGAGCAAATCTGTTGATAACCCCTTGAAGTCGAGCTAAGCATAACATTGGGGCTCGTATGAAAGTCTTTGTGAGTAGTTCCTCGAGATTTTTTTTGCCATTGTTGCGTCTTTTGACGATGAACCAGTCTGGGCTGGTTAGAAAGCCATTTGTCGAGAGCAAGGGGTAGGTATGAGCACTTAACTTAGGGTAGCTAGTCTCACTTCACACAGCATAAGGCCTTGTTGCTTGCATTCGTTATGTATGGGATTATTATCTGATGCAGAACCGATGTGAGAGGGACTAGTTGAGGGCGAAGGCACACTAAATACGAACTAAATCAACCGACCTTATGGTTTATAACTTTTTACTGTTTTAGTCCCTTATATTTAAATGTAGGAATTAGCTTGGGGGCAAAAACAACAATAAATTGTAAAACATAGAGCTAAAAATCTCAATTTTAAAATCATAGGGATGAAAATAGAAACTATTAATAAACCATTATTGTTGTAATTTATAGTATTATGTGAGAAAAGTCCAAAAAAACCAAAAAAAAAAACATATTTTAATTAAAATGATTACATCTATAAACTTTCATAAAATAGCAATTTATTTTCATAAATTTTATTATTATAGTATTGTATTTTTATTTTTATTTTTTTTTATCACGGTAATATACTTTTAAATTGTTTTTTATTAAACATCATATATTGAAAAATTTACTCATTATAACAATTATTAACATGTTGTCTTTTAAATTGGTTGACCACTTACTTTTTTTTTACTTCCTTAGTTTAATAAGATGATGTGGATGACACATTATTTTGATGATATGACTAAAATAAAATAAAAACCTATTTAAAATTATTTTTAAATGATTTTTGTTTTTTATTGCTACGATTTAAAAAATATTTTTTTTTACTTTTTCTTATTAAATTGTATGCAGATTAAATATTCTAGAGTAAATATTTATTAAATAAATATGATATATTAATTTCGAGATAACTATTTTACTTGTACAAAAACAGTAGTTCTTCTTTTATTTTTGTTTAAAAAATACATATCTTTTAAAGTTTTTAAGATGTTAGCGAAATAAATTGTGTTTTACATTTTTTTATTGTTATATTAATGAATAATTAAAAAAAATCTAATTAATTTAATATATTTATATGTCAAGTAAATTGTTTTAAACAAGTATGATATATCATTTAAAAAGATAAATATTGTTTTGGTAAAAAAAATAACAACTCTTATTTTATTTTTCAAAAAATACATATATTTTTTAAATATTAGCAAAATAAATTATGTTTTACTAGCTTTATTAATATTGGTATATTAATGAATAATTTATAATTTTTTAATTCATTTAATATATTTATGAAATAATATGTAAAATCAATTTTTTTAAAGTATAATGTTGTAATAAGAAATGTCATGTCAGCAAAATTTTATATGTGACTACATCACGTATGAAATTTAGGATTAGAAACAGATACTAAATTTAGGTAAATATTGATTAAATGTACAATGTCTAAATAATAAAACAATAAAACTAAAAATACAATGTTGTAATAAAAAAAAAATGGTAGATGCTATGATAAAATAAATTTGAAAATACAATGTTGTAATAAGAAATGTCACAATACATCTTGATAGCCTACGTGGACAATGGGATGACATGAAAATCAGGTATAATAGATAAATTTAAATCAAAAGATTACCCAATGTTATCTTAGACTAATTTTTCAAAGTGCAATACCTTGGTAAAAGAGAATTTTAAATTACATTGTTGTAGTAAGAAAAACTGAAAGTACAATATTATAATGATGAAATTTATGACTAGGTTGCTGTTTCATACATTTTGCCTATAAATATATTATTATACTTATATATTTTGAATAATTAAATCTTTGAAAGTTTTTTTAATAAATAAATTATCGAGTTTTTAGAAATTTGTTATCTACATCATTTTAATCCTAGAAAACGACATGTAACCACTTAGGAATGTTCTGAAAAACCCAATAATTTTTCTCATTTTTAATAAAATAATTAAGTTCATAAACTGCTTTTTTTTAATAAATAAATTATTAAACTTTTATATCTTAAACAATTAACCTTCTGATCAAAATTTTAATATATTAACTATCGTACTTTTAGAAATTGGTTGTGACTTAAAAACGTATTGAAGCGAAAAAAAACATAAATTAATTTTATCATTCCCGAATACGTAATTCATGGACATGATCATTTAAAATAGGAAAGTTTATCTGGTTTTTCTGGATTTTTCCCTATTATATTTTTCATTTAATTTGTTATTTTTATCAAGATATTATTGTTGGGTCATCGACCAATCTTCCTAAATCGAAACGTAGCGTTGACTGCTATGCTACAAAGAAATAAGTTGTGTCTTCTCCACCAACAATTGTTTTTGGCATAGTGGTAAGCGCTTAGATTCCAACATGTGGTACAGAACAGGTCACAGGTTCGAATCCCATGAGGTGCATAATAATGCCAAAAGGCATGATGTACAGCCATTGTCTTCTAGCAAATATCTTGTTAGTGTTGGCAGATGCTGGTGGAGTGGATTGTTGGGTCATTGACCAACATCTTCCTAAATCGAAACGTGGCGCTAGCTGCTACACTATAAGAAAATAAGTTACGACTTCTTCACCAGCAATTGATTTTGGCGTAGTGGTAAACGCTTAGATCCTAACAATTATATTATAAATGCCTACAGTAATGGATAGGTATTGATTTAAACTACAAAATAATTGATAACTTTATACTAAAATTGATGCTAATCACAACAAATTAATGATATAAAATACATCGTTAAAAAGATAAAACCCTATACGATGAATTCTTGATTCAAACATGTCACGTTTTATTAATGCATAAAATCATCTCGATATTTTTTTGCGTATACGACTGTCCTAAATTAGTTTGTTATACGACTTTTCAGTGATTCGGTAATCTGTAAGCATATTCAAAACGTATATTTATAGTTCCATGGTTTCTAAACTTACGAGTTTGCTATTGTGATCGTTCCACTGGCTTTTTATATCACATTCAGATTAACCAACAGTTTGAATCTGACTACAGAAAACGTCAGTTTCTTCTCTCAAACCCGTGTGCCACACATATGGCACGAGTTTGATATAATTGGTATTATTTAAAGTAAACATAGATCAAGTTGGTTGTTATTTATGTGTCCTGATTAAATGCAAAAAAATAGCAACTAACTTGATTTATATATATACTATATTATAAAATATTTGACAAAAACTCTTAAAAACCATTTTTTATACATGAAGTACTGTTTATTAATGCATATTATTTAAAATTCAATATTACAGGTAAATTGTACATAAGTACAGCTTATTAAGCTCCATATTTGAATTCGTGTAACTAACTGTAAATGAGTATAATCAAATACAAGATAACATTTTTATTTTAAATATATCTAAAGTATAGGATAATTACTGTGTTGTAACAGAATGTTTAGTTATTATTTTTATGAAAAATATATTATTAAACCAACAGGGAGGGAGGGAGGGAGAGAGAGAGAGAGAGAGATCGGTGTCTTTGACTTGTGGTGAGATATTGAGGTCGATCCAAAATCAATCTCTCTCTCTATTTATTATATATATATATATATATATATATATACACACACTAGAAGAGTACTCATGCAATGCAGTGAGACATATCTCACGATCGTTTGATCATAATAATTATGAGACTCTCATGATATAGTGCAAAATGAAATATAATTGTTTGGTAATTATTTACAATGAAATAAGGACGCTGAATGATTAAAAGAGGTCCATGATACAAAATCATTCAAAGAGTTTTATAACCATTAAGAGACATACATTTTTTTTTGTCAAACATGAATTCACCTCTTAGGGGCTGTTTGGATCATGGGAATTGAAAGGAATTGGAATGTCCAATCCTTTGACCAAATTCCAAATAGAGTGTTTGGTTCATGGAATAAGACTATGTAATCCTTTCAATTCCAGTCGATTCCTTCACGCACAAATTTTACAATTCCATGACAATATGCTAGGATTTCAATTCATTTCCTATAGATTCCTTCCCTAATCCAATTCCATGCAACCAAACGCAATCACAAGGCATGGTCAAATTCCATCAGATTTCATTTCATTCCCTCAAAGTCAAATTCATTTGATGAATTCCAATTCCATCGAATTTCATTCTACGAACCAAACGCCCCCTTAATGATTTAAAGACCGCCTCTTAATGTAACTATTAAAAGGTAAACAAACAACCTAAAATGTAATTCACTCTTTTTCAAATATGGTTTATGATTTTTCTTTTAAATTTCTCATCTATTGATTTTTTTTTCTGGATCACACTCTTTTTTTTATCAAGAAATCTACGAATTTCCATCCGCTGAGATGGCCCTCTTTTTGTTTTGTTTGTCCACTACGGCACGAAAATTTAGGGTTTGTTTGTTTACCTCTTAATAGTTCCATTAAGAGACACACTCTGAATCATTCGGAGGTGAATCTTGTTTGGCAAAAAAAAGTATGTATCTTGATGGTTCTAAAACTCTTTGAATGATTTTGTATTTTGGGTCTCCCTTAACTATTAAGCTCATTAATTTCATTGTAAACAATTACTAAACAACTATATCTCATTTTGCACTATATCACGAGAGTCTCTTAATCATTTTGATCACTTAATCAATCTGCATCAAACCATTCAGCTACTGCCCAACAGCCCCTTGGTCATCTTCTCTATCTTATAAATAAGGAGTATGCTTTAAATTCGTCTACCCTACACCCATTCCCGAAGCAAAAACACTTTCTAAAATAAATTAAATACAACAAATATCGTGTTTTTCACATATACTTTTTTCGAAAACCGTTCATTCTTATAAGAGGATATGTCTGTATGGTACAAGTTCGACCCAAAAAGCGTTATTTGACACTAAAATGAACTGATTTCACTAAACCAGCTTGTCTGAGAATCATTTAATCAGATGATCAATCAAAAACCAGACATCATGCCCTCCATTTCGAACCGAGCCCACTAACAATCTCCGCTACTTTTCGAAAATTCTGTTCGAACTCCACATTTTAATCGACATTTAAAATTCAAACCGATCAAAATCGAGCCGAAAAATGCAGATAAAAAGTGAAATGAATCTTGGCCACAAATATCATCCAATTATTGTTGGGGGTAAAGTCCTAAAAAAGGGTCATAAAAAGTTGGTCTCATGCTCTTTTTGCAACACTTCAATCCCATAAAAAGAAAGCCCAATTAATTTTTTATTAATTTTTCTAGATATAATAAAAAAAGCTTATTAGGAAATTACAGAATTGCCCCTACAGATATTTTGGTAGAGGTGGTATTTATTTAATCGGTATCAATTATAATCAGTTTTGATGTATTGTTTTAAGTATGAAAACTTGATCGATACATAGTTTTTTGGTAAAAAAAAGTTATGTAATTTTAGACGTAAACATATAGTATTGGATAGGGGTGTGCAGAAAATCAACCGATCCAATTGGAACCGACTGATCCAATTAGAATCGACCGATCGTAATTGGATATCAAATTGTAATTGGATCGGATTGGTTTGAAAATTTCAACATCCAATTTGGATCAATCGGTTCTTGGATGACAGTCTAGAACCGATCAAAACCGAACCGAACCGATCAACATCCAATTGTCCATCCAACTATCATTCAATTAATTTATTTTCAATTTGCTTAAACCGGAATTTGTTTTATGTGAGACTTTGAATTTTTAACTTCCTTTGTGTTAGTTTTAACACATATTAAAAGTGATTAATTAATTTGTATCATTGTTAGATAACTGGATTGAATTAACACACTGAATAGATCCAATCTCATCGGACCATCCAATCGGATATCCAATAAAAGTATCCAATGGATGGAACCGAACCTCCAATTATCCATTGGATTGGATTGAATAGGATCGGTTATCCAATGTTAATCGGATCGGATTGGTTGGCAAAAGCCAACATCCAATGGATGATTGGATCGGTTTGGTTCGGTTCCTCTCACATCCAATGGATGTCAACCAATAAGCAAGCTTAGTATTGGAAGTCTCGTACCACGATAATACAATGGTACCGACTTATTTAATTACATATTAGTATTTTGTATTTTTGATGTATTAAATATTGAACATCTTAATTTTGTTATTCTTTGCAGTTTTGAATGTTTGTTATTCTTTGCAGTTAAAAAACCTGTAATCGTGACAGGTGTGTTACCTACAAACTCAAAATGTCACTCAAAATTTGAACAAAATTGGAAGTTTTCATATATGTAACTTGAAGTTGGTACAAAAACAGTACAAACCAGAAAAAGATGATACCATGTATGATTGGTCGATACAGGGTATAAGATTTTACATATCAATTATAATTGGTTGATAGACAGTATTAGAGAGAGAAAAAACTTGGTATCATACCAAGCCCACCCTTAATTTTGGGATAGATTTATAAAGCAAAACACAGGAACTCGGTATATATACGTCTAGAAGTAGGTTCTAACAGGTAGAATGTATGCAGACTTGTTATTTATCCCAAGTAGTACTACAGTGATTGTTTCCATGAAGATATCTGCCAAAGTATACTTATTTTTAATAAATTAAGAACAAAAGCTACTGACTTAATTGTTAAGTAAATTTGTCTGATGGCTTAACCATTAAGCCGTAAACAAAATAATGATATATGGTCGAGCTACTAATTAAGCCCTTCATGCTATTAAGCCCGTTAAGCCCTAAATAAACAACGCTTTAATTAGTAGACTAGATATCTGATATAGTAGTTGTCCCAAAAAAAAACAACCAAAAACATCACAAATGTTCGAATCACATCAAAGATTTTAATGATCTGGCCTTGATAGGCTTTCTCCCTCTCTTTTTTCCAACAATTCCGGATTTACCCTTTTTGTTATCGTCGACGTCGTCATCATCATACATTAATTCCGTCTTTGTGGGCCGGATCTTGGACGTCTCGGGTTCAAATCTTTTCTCCATCTCTCTTCGTATATCCATATCATCGGTTGGAATTATCTCGTTATACGTATTTGAGGTAGTAGCCGTCGATCCTCTTTTCTTTCCCCAAGACGGTCCAAACCCAGTATAATAGTAAAACTCATATGGGCTTGTTGAAGCCCGTTTCTTGTTTTGCCGAGGGCGGGAATGAGTTCCCGCCATCGTCCCATTTATGGGCCTGGACTTTTTCGAAGTCCAGACCGCGTTGGTTTGTAGCTCGTTAACATGATAGTCGCAAATCGTATCGCCATTTTTCACCAACCGCCCACATTGCCATCCTTTATCGTCGGTCCTACCACATAACACGATTTCTTCTTGAATCTCACTCGTCTCTCCTCCTTCAAACCCTAAAATTCCCCCATAATCGTGCTTCGGCTCATCAAAACCGTAGTTTTCACCTTCGGAGGTCTTCACCGAAGCCAAACTGTTCACGAACGGTAATCTTTATTCGAACCCCACATCAAAAAACACGAAAAAAGATTCGAACTTTCCACGATCCAAGTTACATCATACGAAGAAATCTCGAAAACTAATCCTAATAGTTCTTTGAATCGTAGCATTAACATCGATCGCAGCAAGTAATATCAACAACATTGTCGTCAACAAGATCGAATTTTGTCCGAAACCCATTAAGATAACACAGAAACGAATCGATTTTTCTTGAATCCAAGTTAAGATCATGAAGCAATAATCAAACAACATATAAACACACACACACACTGATGCACACACTCACACACAGTTAAAGAAATCAAGAACATTGAAGATAGATATAAACAACCCTAATAATTAGCCAATAAGACGAACTAAAAATCGTTTTGATTCAGCCAAAGGCTACGAGGTTACCTTTCAGACGCACCAATGGAATAATCCCAGCTCGCATTTCCAGCCAGACAGACGTTGTAGTAAGCCTCATTATCATCAAACTGTGTAAAACAAGAAACTCGTCTGAATAATCATCAAGAAAACAATAAGCATGATGATAATCTGTTAAAAAACGAAAACCCATTTGGAAAATCAATCTATTGAGCTCGAATTCACGACGAAAATGGTGGGATTTTAGGGTTTTTGATTGGGAAGAACCCTAAAGAGAAGGGATTTTCAAGATAAACCCTAGAGAGTGATAATGAAGAAAACGAAAGCAAATAAGCAAAAGATTTCAAGTGTTTTCAAATGGGGTTTTCTTGTTTTGATAGATCTGATTCATGGAATTGAAGAGCAACAAGAACCGATTGATGACGACTGAATGAATTAAGTGTTACCTGAACAAGTGAAGAAGATGAATCTGAAGGTGGGAAAGTGATGATATCCCATGGAGATTGATTCAGCTGACACAACTCCTTCTGCTGAATCAAACAGTCATCTGAATCATTCGAAAGGTTTGTGTTTGCGAAGAAAAGTGTCGAGATTTTTGCATTTTTTCGTATTCTCATGAGGGAGTAGAAGAAGTAGAGAGAGATGGGTAGAATCTTGGTCAGATCCAAATGACTTTCTCTCTCTAGAACTCACTTTCTCTCTCTATATCTATATACGTGTAGCATTTCTTCTTTCCAGAGATAAAACCTATAGATACAGCATGATGTACAACTTGATATGCAAGATGTACAAGTTTGTAATGCATATATTAGCTTTTGGTTGTAGAGAGAAGATTTAATATAAAATATTCACTTTCTCTGTCTATATCTATGCATATATATTGCTTACTTTTTTCAGAGCCAGAATATGTAGACTGTAGGTACAGCTTATGTACAAGTTGACATGCAAGATGTACAAGTTTGTAATGCATATAATAGTTTTTGGATTATAATATTTACTTGTTTTTGTGTTTCTCTCTCTAGAACTCACTTTCTCTCTCTATATATATCTATACATATTTTCAGAGCCGGAATCTATAGATATAGCACAAGGTACAACTTGACATGCAAGATGTACAAGTTTGTAAAGCATATAATAGTTTTTGGTTTACAAAGAGGATTTAATATAAAATATTCACTTGTTTTTGTGTTTCTCTCTCTAGAACTCACTTTCTCTCTCTATATATATCTATACATGTTTTCAGAGCCAGAACCTATAGATATAGCACAATGTACAACTTCACATGCAAGATGTACAAGTTTATAATGCATTTAGTAGTTTTGGTTTAGAGAGAGAGAGCATTTAATGTAAGATATTTACTTGTTTTTTTGTGTTTCTCTCTCTAGAACTATCTTTCTCTCTCTCTCTCTCTCTATATATATATATATATATACATGTAATATTGCTTCTTTTCAAAGGTAAAATCTATAGATATAGCATTAAATGTACAACTTGGTATGCAAGATGTACAAGTTTGTAATGCATGTAGTAGTTTTTGGTTTAGAGAGAGAGGATTTTAATGTAAAATATGTCTTTCTCTCTCTCCTCTTTGGTTTCTTGCAGATATCACAGAACTCGAAAATAATGAGAGTTCTTTTTAAGATCAGAATGTTATGTTTTAGACCCTATATTTATTGATTATTGGCTATTTTGGTCCTTTTAGTTTGTTGTTTACGATTAGAACACTAACGTTTTGTTTAAGCTCGAAAAAGTCTTCATCTAACGTTACAAAACTTGGGTTTATCAGATGCTTAAAATGTCTAAGAAATTGTTTGACAGTTGTTGAATGGTTTGGTGCAGAATGATTAAGCGGTTAGAATTATTAAGAGACTCTCATTATATAGTGCAAAATGAAATTTAATTGTTTGATAATTGGTTACGATGAAATTAGATCGTTGAATGGTTAAGGGAGGCATATCATACAAATTCATTCAGAGGGTTTTAGAACCGTTAAAAGGCAGACATTTTTTTCTGCCAAACAAGATTCACCTCTTAACAATTCAGATGTTGTCTCTTAATGGAACTATTACCGTTATGATAGAATGATTTATATGATTTAAGTTTATAGATACAAACAACGTAACGTCTTATTTAAAAGTGTTACAATAAATTTATAGAATTTTTAGACGTTTTACAAGTTTTTTTGGACATTTTTAAAATAAAATGTCGTAATAGATGGTTTATAGATCACTTTTGATATGTGTCTTATTCATTTTTATAGTATATTTGTGCTTAGAGGATATTTTTCTAAACAGTGTTTTATAAAACAGATAACATTACATGTTATTTTAAAAATGTTCTAAACACTTGTTAAACGTCTTATAAACATATTGTAATACTTTTGAATCGAATTTTTTATTATTTGGTTCTATAAACTTAAGTTTTTATAAAATATTTCATTATGACACTTATACATTTGGGCAAATTGCATGAAAAAGTAACGTATTTTAACTTAATTCCTATTTTGCGTAATGTACTTTCAAAACTTTTCATTTTAGTATCTAAGATGTAAGGTTTTAAACATTTAAGTACTCAGGTAGCCGGTTATGTGGCAAGTGATGTGGTATCGAACTAAGTATTATTTGCTGACATAGATATTTTAATCTAAAATTAGGTTTTATGTATATGTTATTTTATGGGAACTGGTTAATGCTTCAACCAGTTACCCGAGTACTTAAATGTTTAAAACCTTACATTTTAAGTATTAAAATGAAGGTTCTGAAAGTACGTTACCCAAAATAAAAATCAAGTTAAAATACGTTATTTTTTCATGCAATTTGCCTTATACATTTTAGTGTTTCTCATAACTTGTCTGGTGATTCAAACTTTTGAGCTTCAATATATTACTCTGTGTGGGAGTGTGTATATATACATATATATATAGAGAGAGAGAGGAATGGTCAATTGCAAACCACCCTCATTTGTGAAAACCCTATAAACTAATTTCATCTATCCATTGTCTTGATCAATGGTCAAGATTAAATAGTGTTATATTAGGAAATTAAAAAAAAAAGTTTAACTTTTAATTAAAAAAGGGCAAAATTAGCAAATCACCCATATGAATTTGTTTCACTGTATGAAACTGTATTTCATCATTGTCCTATTCTCTTTATGCAACTATTTCACTTAATGAAACTGTATTTTACTGTATGAAACTGTATGTCATCACTGTATGCAACTAATTCACTATATGAAAAACATTATTTCATCACTGTATGAATCTGGTTCACTGTATTAATATGTATTTCTTAACTAGATGAACATGTATTTATTCATTGTATGAATCTGTTTCACAATATTTATTCATCTGGTTCACTGTATGAATCTGTTTCATATAATGAAACTGTATTAATCTGTCATCTTCATTGCATGCAACTATTTCACTGTTCCACCGTTTTATATTTAAAAATAATTGATTTACACCTTACATATAAACGGTTTTTATATAATTACGTTTCCATATTTAAAAATAATTAAATCATTTCCAATATTATATTTAAAAACAATTGATTTACACATTCTATATAAACGGTTTCTATATTTACGTTTCCATATTTAAAAATAATCAAATCATTTCCAATATTAACTATTATACAGTAAAATGATAATTATACCTTACTTATTAAAATTAAAGAATAAAAACGAAAATTTTCTATTGGTCGAGAGTGGTTTGCACAGTTTTCACGAATCAGGCGGTTTATAATCTAACTCGCCTCTATATATATATATAGAGAGAGAGAGAGAGAGAGAGATTTATAAGAAGGTTTGAATAAGAACTGTATAAGTGTTGAAAACATGAAAACAGATCTTAACCATTAGATGAAGTTGATTTATTTTTTCGTGTTCTCTCGTCCTTAGTTTTTTATTTTTTTGAAGTATATAATATTTATATACACCAAATACAACAAAAAAAACTCGCACACTCTCCTCACTTATGGTGAAATTTGAATCTCCGACCCTCTATGAAGCCAAAGACTACAATATCGCTAGACCAAATGACCTTTGGTATCCTTAGCTTTCTTACTGCTCTCATTTGAATCATTTTCAGTATCAATTGTATTATATTTTAGCTTTGATCCCAAACTGTTAAAACCGAAAACAAGATTGCTCAAAATTTGTGGTTGAAATTGAACAACTCAGTATTGCGAACCCCAACTTCAGATCGTTACAAACAACAAAGTTAAGGGTAGAAATGTAAAAAACGAAACTTAAAATATCTTAAAATTGAAATAGAAAAGCATAGGGGCCCATGGTTATTAAACAAGCATATATAACTGAAATGTTAAAAACTCGGGGAGGTTTTTAAATTACAAATAGTCAGAAGGGTAGTTTTGTCCTTTCATAGTGCATTCAAATAAATACGACAATCTCTTATATCTCTCTCTCTCTCTCTCTCTCTCTCTATATATATATATATATATATATATGTAGGGGCTAAATAGTCATATCCCATTTGAATTTATGTTCTGTTTTTCTTTCTAACCTTAAACTTTTGGGCCCGGGTTTTTTGGGCCAGGACGGGCCGAAATTTTGATCGGACTTTGAGGCTTGGTCCAGACTGGGCTTTAGACTCACTGGCCCCAAGCTTTTTCATATCGGGATTAGGTACTGATGACCAAAAACCGGTCCCGGGCCAGGCCTAATCAGTCCCAAGCTTTCTCATAACTGGTCCCAGCGTAATCGGTATCGGTCCCGGTCGAAAATGATAGGACCAGTCAAGGTACTTCATAACCGGTTATGGGCCGCCGGTCCCGGTCCTAACCGGTCCCGGCATTAAGAAAATATGATTTTTTTTATTTTTCTTAATGATATATATTTTTAATACATTATAAAATTTACAATTGGGTCACTCAAATACACTTTAAAAATGCGTATTAATATAATTAAAATTACATTGTCTTATAAAAATACATTATAAAATTATTTGAAAATACATTTATTTATAAAATTATTTGAATTTTTGGGTCGAGCCAGGCCGGTCCATAACCGGTCCCGGTCCCAAAAACCCCAACCGGTCCCGGTTTTCGATACCATAACCGGTACTTTGCCGGTCCCAGGCTGGGCCGATTTGGCCATCACTAGGATCAGGTTGGACTTTGGGTTTGGATTTTTTTGTGCATCTCTATCCGCAAGAACCCACTTCCAACGGGGTGGAGATTTCTAGTTGTTGGTGGACAACTTGGCAGGGTTTTGTATCCAAAACGGATTTTAAATGTCATTACCTTTTATATTGTTCGTTTTAAATTATTATTACTAAACGGACACTCAACAGGGTTCCCATACATAGTGGAAATTCATTCTTCCAAACCCGTTATGGATTAGAAGGGGTGGCAGTAAACACAGAGTAGGGACCACCGAGAGAGGGATGCATTGCTCTGTTGCCATCCCTATGAAACTTTTATTATATGGCGATTATACAAGTTTAATGTACACGAATGACATACCGATCGATATGAATCAAAATTTGAAAATTTGGCATATGATTTGTTTGGACAAAATTACCCCTACAATTTTTGTGAAAGTGAAGGTTTTACTTTAATAAAAGTCGACAATGCCCTTTATATCCACCTCTTGTGTATTCTTTATTTGTATACCATAAAGTTGGTGTTGAAAGAATAAAGAGTGATGTGATCTTGCATTTATGTAGTATGACTTCTAATATATTTAGGGGTGTTTGGGATTGTTTATTTAAAACAACTTATATATTTTTTTTAAAAGTGATTATCGACGTATGTTGTGTTAAACTGAAGTTTTATAAAAAGTGTTTGGATTAGCTTATGACGGTACCAAAGCGTAATAAGTTGATAAATTATTTTTTAATCTTTAACAAATTTTGCTTATACATGTAAAATGACAAAAAAAGACATAAAAAATGAGGAACTGTCAAAGGTGGCTTATGTGAGGAAGAACCCTAAACCCTTCCAAACCACGCTTCCAATTATTTTGGTAAAATGACCAAAAATCAATCTGTCCAAACCCCAAACACAAACAACCAAGATCTTTTGGCACACTTCCAAACCACACTCCATTTGTAAACAAGGCAAGACCAGCCATTACACTCTATCGTAAACTTTACCAAACGCTTACCCGAGTAAATGTTTACCAAGTCATATTACTTTACCAGATGAATACGACAAAGACCGAGAATCTTACCTGGTAAGTGAGGGTGACAACTCTTACCATGGTTAACGTTTACCAAGTAAATTGTTGCATACAATGGTGGACTAAAATCTTATTCGACAAGTAAGTGATAGTGTTGAATTTTACCGGTAAACACTTACTCGGATAAACATTTGATAAATGGTCCCTAAATTTACCACAATAGCCCAAGACAGAAAACAACAGGCAACAAATGGAGCAAAAGAACACCAAACCAGAACTGTTGCACCAAAATTTTAACAGCACAACACATGAAAGAGATAAAGCACCAGATCCAAGAAACAGTAGATAACATCCACCAAATAGAACACTCGACCCAGATTTTAAATAGGGTCCCTGAAATTTTGAGACCCAAATTTATATGTATTTAGGATCTTTTATTGAACTGTGTAAAACTATAGCCGAAATTATTTAGGTTCACACCATTAATTGTTTGGTTTTAGGTTCAAATCCTTAATGGTTTAGGTTTAGTTTCAGATTGTTAATCGTTTTAAGTTTAGCCGTTTTTGTTCTTAACATATATTCTATGTTATCTCATTTATTCGATGTAATCAAAAAATTTGGATGTAAAAGGACCTCCAAAAAAATTGGAACTTCCCTACAAAAGAGTATAATTAACCATCATCAACTAACATACATCACTAGAGTTCAAGCCTACCACTACATTCTCTATTTCATGAAATACATTTATTATGCTCTTGGGCACTTTGACACTCGAACTATCTTCAAATACCAAAGGGTCGTTTATCAAACGCTTACTTAGGTAAGTAAACACCAAGTCACATTGGCCTTACCAGATAAATATGATAATGATCAATAATCTTACCCGGTAAAAACGAGACAAGGACCAAAAATCTTACCTGGTAAATGAGGTCGATGACTCTTACCACGGTAAGAGCTTACCGGATAATTTGTTACATATGATTCTGTTTTGATGGACTAAAATCTTATCTGATAAGTAAATGATAATGTTAAATTTTACCGGTAAGCGTTTACCAGATAAGTGTTTGGTAAACGACCCCTAGCTTATTCGTGCCTTGATTTTGGCTTAACGCAACCTATATATAGTCTTCTTTTGCAAACCATACTTTATGGACGAGGAACTCAAGCGTCATGGACTCATGGTCGTTCCAAGGGGAGGGCAACATGGGGCGCATGCGGCCCCGTACAGGGTCCAAAAATAGCAGGGTCCCAATAATCAGGAAAAAAATTCTGATTATACACTACGTAGTCAGGGCCTCCCTTTAACATGTTAAATGTGAGACTTTGAACAAAGCCTCCGAAATTTTGAGACCCAAATTTACATGTATTTAGAGTCTTTTATTGAGCTGTGTAAAACTATAGCCGAAATTATTTAGGTCCAAACCATTAATTGTTTGATTTTAGGTTCAAATCAATAATAGTTTAGGTTTAGTTTCAGATTATTAATCGTTTTAGGTTTAGCCTATTTTTGTTCTTAACATATATTCTTTGTTATCTTTTTTATTCAATGTAATCAAAAGTTTTAGATGTAGCAGACCCTCTAGAAAAATTGGAACAATAAAAAAAACTAATATATTAAATAGGCTAAAAAATTGTAAAAATATATGAACTAAGAAATCCTCTTTCTTTTCCTCTCTGATTCATTCCATTCCTTTTCTAGTTCCCAACCTGACTTGTAATCGCCGCGATCATGTAAAAACTTACATGAATCGCCGTAACCACAGTAACCGGTTTGTTTATAGTCCTTACACACATCTGGTTGGTAATCGAATCTAGTCGAAGTTCTAATATGAACAGGAGCTCTCAATGGACCATGGAATCCACTTGAAACAGTTTGCTCACGTCTAAAACCAGCTTTATGATTCGTATAGGCATGGATTCCTTTATATAACTTATGATCATCATTATAATTACTCTTGTGTTTACCTTTTAAAGCTTCGTCTGCTCGCTTCAGAACTCTTTCACGAACCGATCTCGAATCTCTGGAAAATTCTGTTTCTGTTTCGAGTGTTGCTGTTGCTCTACTGTCGTTGTGAACTTGAATTTCTTTGGAAGAATCGTACTGAAACATCGACGCCTTCTCTAATTGCTTAGAAAACCATCGAGATGTTGCAAAATGCAGTTTATTGTCTGGTGGAGTAGGCAATTTCTTCGTCATCACAACAGCAGAGGCTTCATCTCGATTAGTTTTTATTGCTATGTTATTGTTCTTCAAGGGTTTACGGAAATAAATGCGACCTGGATAGTATAATCAAATCAGAAATCGTGGATTCATTCAATAACACATACCTACCTATTAATTTGCTTGGAAAATAGATTGAATCGATACGTACCTTCTTGTTTTTCTTCGCCATTCTCCGCCATTGCTGTGGATCGCACCATTGCTGTGGATCGAGAACCAAACCAGTAAACAAAACCCCAGAACTCAAAAAAGTCATTTTAAAACGGAAGGAAGCGTCCAGAAGAAGGATACGGATGTGTGTATATATATATACATATATATATATATATGAGTTTTTTGCAAAAATGGGTTGGTTTTGAAAAAGCTTTGTAGAAATAGGTTAGTTTTAGTTTTATTGGTAGAAATAGGTTAGTTTGTGTGGGATCCACTCATTTTAAAAAATATGATTTTGTAAATTTACAATTTTTACCCACCAACTTATATTTTTATTTTTATTTATATCCTTTATTTTGTAAAATTTTATATTTAACCCTTATTATATATTATGTATTAATTTATTTAATTAAAATATATATATTAAAATTTACGTATTATTTTTAAATTTACGTAATTTACGTATTATTATCAATTTGGTTGGAGTCGGATTGAAAAATTGAA